GACTGATGTTAAACCTAATTGTTGAGGCTTTTGTTTGATTTTTTGACAGTAAGCGTGAAGTGGCAAAAGAAGGTGTTCGATGGTATCGAGATTGACGTTAGTCTGCCTGCTTATGTTTTCAAAGCTCAGTTGTATGATTTGACTGGAGTTCCTCCTGAGCGTCAAAAGATCATGGTCAAAGGTGGTCTTTTGAAGGTAATCTTGGTTTTCACTTTGTTTGTAATACTAAGATCTGTGTTTCCCTAGATTGTTTATTGATGAATGATGATAACGTCTATCTCTTTCTGTTGATGCAGGATGATGCTGATTGGTCTGCTATTGGAGTGAAAGATGTAAAGCTCTTTTTCTTTTTTGCATTCATTTGGCACTCTTTTTTCCTGAGTTGATTAATTCTATAATGATGGTTTTTCGTTTGTTTTGTTCAATTCTAGGGTCAAAAATTGATGATGATGGGAACTGCAGATGAAATAGTGAAAGCTCCAGAAAAGGCTATCATTTTTGCTGAGGATCTACCTGAAGAAGCGCAAGCCACGAATCTGGTAATCCTTTTTACTGTTGACTATAAATGTGCATGTGTGTCAGATATGGCTCTTTTGTATTTTTGGAATGGAACCGAATGAAAAAGGGTTATTGAAGAGTCCCCAACTTCCACATAGACACCAACATTCGCTTAGCTGCCCTCTAACTAATTGACTCAAATCTACTGTTTCGTAGCTGTCACAGTTACAATTTTGAACAAAGTACTAGACTAGAAACATTTTTGCAGTATACTAACATGCAGGCTTTCTCAGTGCGTTTCTTGAGTTTGGAAGTTTTTTCTAACTTCACAATCCTTGAAATCTAAACAATGCATACTCATAGAGTTCAAGAAAAACAAAGTAGAAGCCAAACCTTTTGCTAGCATTGGAAAAATTGGTGTCATGTTTTGTTCGTATATTCAGAAATTTGGACATCCGTCTTATTAACTAACCAACACTACGATTTTTTTTTTCAGGGTTACAGTGCTGGCCTTGTCAATCTTGGCAACACGTGTTACATGAACTCCACATTGCAGTGCTTAAAATCTGTCCCCGAGTTAAAATCTGCATTATCCAAGTCAGTTGATCTTTTTATCCTTCTCTGTTTTTAAGAAAATACTCTGGAATTTAAATGTCTTTAATCAGTATTGTTATCTCATACAAAAAATTCCTCTTAATAGTTACTCCCTTGCTGCAAGAAGCAATGATGTCGACCAGACTTCTCACATGCTCACAGTTGCGACACGTGAATTATTTGGTGAGCTTGATAGAAGTGTCAATGCTGTTTCGCCGACACAGTTCTGGATGGTTAGTCTCGGTCCATATAATTTGTGCTTTACTTACTATTCATGGTAGCTCCTCTGAATATTTATATCAGAAAAACAAAAATCCATCATCCAAAACAATCTACGACTTCAGTATCCTAGACAGTTTTAAATTGTGGGTTTAAATAGTAATATATGCAAAGAATCTAAATAGGTCAACAACATTAAGCTACAATGTCATTCATGATCAATATGGAAGCATATGTCTGTTGGGATGTATGGAAGCCTCATTTTAAATGCCTTTTGCTAGTTCACATCATCAGTGTCCATATTCCATCATAAGTTTCTAGTTCCTGGCTCATATCAACTTTGGTAATGATGCAGGTGTTACGAAAAAAATACCCTCAGTTTAGTCAGCTGCAGAATGGAATTCACATGCAACAGGTTTGTTTCTTATTGCAAACTCGGTTGCAGTAAGCCTTTAGTCTTTCAGTTTGTGAACCCATGCTATCAAAATGTCTAACAGGATGCTGAAGAATGTTGGTCACAACTATTATACACACTTTCTCAGTCTCTAAAAGCACCAACTACCAGTGAAGATCCTGATGCTGTGAAAGCTCTTTTTGGTGTCAATCTTCGCAGCAGGTATCTTTGCAACATTCACATCTCTGTGTCATATCTTGCTTATTTGATTTGTATAGATCATTCATATAGTTTGTTTTGTAGTCTCATGTGTAAAAAATGCAAAATTTGTGAACGGTCTTCATACTGTAATTTACAACTTAACTCCTGCTGGTAATTGGTAAAGTAGGAGCCTGCTTGGTATTCTTATTAAGCAGGCTAACTGGCAAAATGGAGGGAAATACTTAAAAAATCTACAAGTTACAGGATTTTACTTCGTCATTTTCAGTTCCACGATTATATTTTGTGTGCTTGAAATTGTGACATACAATATTGTGTGGGTCTGTGTGCATGTAGCATATATTTGTTGAGGGTTTCACTACAGGGAAATATATCAAATTATGAATGATGTGTTTGTTCATGTGAGATTGACAACTGAATATGTAAATACCTGATTGGTTTTTTCACCTTGCTTAGTAAATTTAGTTGCGTTTGTTCTTGTTCTGTAGGTTGCATTGTCAAGAAAGTGGCGAAGAAAGCTCAGAGACAGAATCTGTGTATTCTCTCAAATGTCATATATCACATGAGGTGAACCACTTGCATGAAGGGTTAAAACATGTGAGCAATTTATAATCCCACTATTCGACTTTGTTTCTGTTTTTTTTTTCCTGCCTTTTTCTCAGGTATAGAATAAATAGGACAACGTCTGCTTATATTCGATTATTATAAAACCTTGTGTTGGTTTGATGAACGGCCCCAACTCTGCTGGTAACTGTAGGGATTGAAAGGAGAACTTGAAAAAACATCTCCTACTCTGGGCCGTACTGCTCTTTACCTCAAGGAGTCACTTATAGATTCCTTGCCAAGGTGACCAGTCTCTGCTTTATTATTGTCTGTGACTTATATTGCATATTTCAGTTCTCTGTAATCTTTTTCCGCATGCCTCATGTTGAAGCATGTTAAAGAGAACCTACCTTCGTCAACTTGCTAATTTAGTGCAACTGCTAATCACTTTTTCCTCTGACACGGAGTTTCATTCTCTTTTTATGTATCTTGAAGGTACTTGACCGTTCAGTTTGTGCGATTCTTCTGGAAAAGGGAGACTAATCAGAAAGCAAAGATTCTCAGGGTATGTTTGCTTTCTGTTTTGTATTTTTAGCAAAAGTCTACATGCTCAACATTCTTATGGTAATGTCACCAACTTGTTGATCTTTGAAGAAAGTTGATTATCCACTGGAGTTGGATATATTTGACCTTTGTTCAGAGGACCTTCGGAAGAAATTGGAAGCTCCTCGCCAGGTTTGCTCTGTCTACTTATGTGAGCTCAAATTATGTGAACTGTTTAACCAGATCATCTGACAGCTGGGTCTTTCAGAAACTTAGAGATGAAGAAGGTAAAAAGCTTGGTCTGCAAACTAGTGCTAAGAGTGGCTCAAAGGACAGCGATGTGAAAATGACTGATGCGGAGGTACAATACCTATTGGACTTATATAAATCATATATAAAAGTCCTATCTTCTTTGCCCAAAAAAAAAAAAAAAAAGTCCTATCTTCTAAGAAGATTTTTTGCTCTGTATTTATTTGCAGGCATCGTCAAATGGAGGTGGAGAATCATCCACAGTAAACCAACAGGAAGGTACGCTATCTAAGACCCCCTTTCGACGTCTTTCTTTTCTTGTTTGGAAAGAGCCGTAATCGGTTTGATGTAATACTTGGATGATTATTTGTCCATGTTTCTATTGTCAAAGCAATAAAGAGTCTTGTCAGAACCTAATTGTGAAGGATCTAATTCTGGTTTGCAATGCGACATTATAGGTGCTTCTTCTGAGAAGGGAACACACATGACTGGAATATATGACTTGGTCGCTGTGTTGACCCACAAGGGTAGGAGTGCAGACTCTGGTCATTATGTCTCATGGGTTAAGCAAGAGAGTGGTTAGTTCCTTTCTCCAATAAACGTTACCTCTCTCTCTCTCTTACACAATCCCTTTTATTATTTACAAAATTTGACATGGTATACAGGCAAATGGATTCAGTATGATGATGAAAACCCGAGCATGCAACGCGAGGAAGACATCACTAAGCTATCTGGAGGAGGTAAACACAATAGCTGTTTTACTCATATGGTTCTTGCTTATTTCTGAATTCTGAGTATATTACTGGGTTATATAATTCACAGGTGATTGGCATATGGCGTACATCATAATGTACAAAGCCCGCTTTGTCTCCATGTAATCTCTCTCTCTCTCTCTCTCTTTCTTTCGTTTGATCTTAGTTCTTGAAACATTCAGATCATTAAAAAAAAAAAAGCTTATGTAGACCACCTCAGAATTTTTTAAAAGTTTTACAATGTTGCAAGCTGGATTTGGTCACTACTGTCAAGATAATTATATTTTGCCTTTGTGACTCTTTGTTTAGGGTGTGACATTTTTTATCCTCGAATTCACACATTTATTTTATGAGAAATTACTTTTGTTACAAATTTTGGTCCTTTTGGTGATTGTATATACACACAGGAGATGTACTGTACTGTTTGTAAATGTAATTCTGAAATTAGCCTTCAAAATTGACCAAACAAGCCCCAAATATATATTGTGGTCCATAAAATCAAGGGATACATAAATGGATTGGCCCATGGGAAAGAGGAGTGATTGGGATGAGATGAGAGTTATGTATAAACAAATATGGTCAAGCAATGTCAAATCAAACCAATCCCAATACATATCTTGTAAACAACTCATCAGTCATCATTTCAAATCATTTTACCCAAACTAGAGAACCTAAAGAAGTGGACTACATTGATTTCTTGAGAGTAACTTACTTATCCATCCACTCGACTTGGACCACAATTTTGATTTTTCTTTTTGACTTCTCTTTCAATTTGTTTGCTCATTCACATTTATAATAAATACGAGTAAGATCAGGTGTGATTGTGACTCTTACTAGATTTTTGATGATCATAGAAATTATATCATTCATGTAAACACATGACTTTTTTTTTTCTAATTGTATTTTTCTTCTTTAAACTATTTAAAATACATGTCAACTCTTGTTAAACATTATACTTTATAACACCAAAAAAGAATTAAGCAATGAGATATCTTAACTTTGTGCAAAAAAAATAAAAAGCTCAGATTCACAAATACATATCGAAAATATATTTCAGTATCAGTCTATAATAATTCCAATAAATATTAGTAATTATATAACACTCACTAAAGCCAAATCATGGGGGGAAAAAAAAGTGGCAAAGACTGTAGCAGTAAATGGACCGACATCATTTGTTGTTATATTTTGACTAAGAGATGACTAAAAAAAAAAAAGATATCTAAATGCATTTACCGAATTACCCTTTTCTTCTTCAATTCTTCTCCACTCTGTTCATAGCTAAATCAGTCCACGTGTCGTCGTTTCTCCGTAGACCCGAACCCAAACCCAAATCCATACCCGGAAACCAGCGCGATCCGGGTTCGTAAACAAGCCCACCCATTTGCATATTCGAAGCCAAGAGCGAACTGAAACTCCCACCGTTCGTATCTCCTCCAACGGGTAACCCGTATAACATTCGGGTAGGATCCGTTTGTTGACCCGTAACCCGCTCTTCCCCTTGTTTTGACCCGGACCCGGAGTGATGATGATCATGAGGTTTCTCAGCAGCGACGGTTTGAATTTGATTCTTGGGGTTACTCGACGATGATGATGATGACGCGGAACGTTTGTTGTTCTTACGAGATCCACCGCCGACGGGGATGTTACGGAGAGCGCCGCCTTTGGTCCAATAGCGGCGACAGTTTTTGCAAAAGTGACGTGGCTGCGACAGATTGTAGTTGTTGTAGTAACAGAATTTAGTGTTGGGCGAGTCGCAGCGAGGACACTTTAGCTGTTCTTGTTCTGGCAACTCTGGTTGGTTCTGTTTCGCCGTCGTCATCATCATCGTTTGGTGGTAAAAAGCTGCCGCTGACGTCAGATCCTGCATTTTATTTTTTGTTAACTTAATTTCCCGAGAAAATTCTGATTCGTGCACAATCGAAAATAAAGAAAAAGGTGAAGTCTTTAACACAAGATATGTTTGTGTTTTGTGTGCAGAGAGAGAGAGGAGACCTTTAAAAAGAGAGGAAAAAAAATGGAATCTTTAGGGGAAGAAGAAGATGAAGAAGAAGAAGAGAGATAAAGAGTGGAGATATTTGGTGGTGGGTTTATTATTATTATTGATTCTTTTTTTAATTTTTATTTTACCCACAAAATGACAATTTTTAAGACTTTCTTTGATTTTGTATTCTTGCTTTTGTGTAGTAGTACTTGAGAGAATGAGAGTTTTGTGTTATTGAAGATTTCATGATTTTGTTTTTGTGATTCTTGTTGACCTTTGTTTCTCTATTTTGTAACTTTGCTAATAATTTATTTTCTACTTTATTTTATATTTCCAAGTCATGGTTTTGTTTAGTGTATAATATACTTTCTTCTTATGTATATAACAAATAGCCTTTTTCTAAAAATACTCTTAGAATTTATAAAAGAACTTTCTTAGAAATTTGCATCCAATAGTATTTTTGTTAGACAAGATTCTGACGCGTTGAAACTTTATCAATTGACTTGGTGACTTCACTTAACTAACACCATAGAGTTTTGTTCCCTTGACTTCTTCACAAGAAAATAATAATTTAAAACTTATCAGTAATAAAACCCCAATTAAGTTATAGAATTTAGGTTCATCCGATGGAACGAGAGAGCATGTTTTACTTGAGCTCTCTGAGACGACGACGACTCCAACCCAAACACAAGGAGCTATGATGATGCTCTCTGACCCACTAAGGCTTCCAAATTAGCAGACAAGAAAGAAGAAAAAATAATGTAAAGATAGCGTACATAACAAGCAAAAGTGTTACAGTATTTCTTTGGATCATGAAAAAGAGAAAGGCATCATCATTATTCCACTTTCGAACCCCACCTTGGAACATTGGATCACCACCGTCAGTTTTGTAAATGCTATCGTGATACATTGAACCAGAGTGACAGAGAGAGAGAGAGAGACCACCACACAAGTGTCGAAACCAGGTTTGTGTTTGACGATCGCTGCCGACTTCCGTTATCGCTGACCGTTTTTGTGTTTTCTTTCTTATGGCTACGATATATATATTTTGTGGTTCTCTAAAGCTAGAAGAGTCTTATAGGACACGACAAATGGATGGCTCTCCTCTCCAGCCCACAAGATCGATCTTGCACTATGACGCGTATTTGACGTTATTTGTTTCGTTTTGTAATTCGTTTTACATAACAAAAGTAACAAGGAAATGGCCAAATAAAATTTAACTAAGTAAGAAGGAACATAACATATATGTGTATATGTATATGTATATGTAAATGAAATGTATTATTTTTAACAAGTCAAGACAATCGAAACAAGTTTAACAAAAGAATCAATAAAACAAATGATTACACAATGAAGCCAGAAAAGAAGATTATAATAAAAAAAAAAATCTAATCTATATCCATCCAAATAGTCATATGGGATTAGCTTACTAAAATCACGATTTCTTCCAATCGGATTTTCATGTTTTTCTTTTTTTTTTCTTGGCCTGTAATGTAGTTTCCAAGTGCATAAGGTAAAAATTCTACACTTTGAAAAGAAGAAAAAAAAAGAAAAAAAAAAAAGAGAGAGAATGATTGGTTTTTCACTGCTTGCCTTTTCCATGCTCTTCTTCCAAGAAGTCCATGATGGTCATTACAGAGCTTATGTGATCATAAGACCAGGTCATGATGATGATGAGGATGATGTAGGTGTATATAGCAATCCCCATCAACCACCATAAGGAACCAAGAAAAACAGAGCCTAGACCAAGGAAATGCGCCTTTTTGCTTCTTCTTTTTTGTGGAGTATTTGAGTTAGGCATAGTACATGTACAAGCTATTTGCAGCGGCACAAGCAATTGAGTTCTCATTCGGATGCCAAGCAAGATGCAGCAGCTTTGTTGCGTAATCAAGAGCATTGTTATTTCCATCTACTCCGGGACTCTCTGATCCTGTTTTACCATTTCAGTATTTACCGATTTGATGCCAATTTCTTTAAGGGTATATAGTGCTTAAAGGAGAGAGAGAGGAGAGAGAGACTAACCTCTACTTATAACCCGCGTTATACTGCTTAGTGCGGTGGATGGCCTGGAGGGAATCGGGACATGTCTCCTATGATAAACCACAACAAAAATTCCATTTCATCAACATTAAGAAGAAACAGGAGAGCCCACTACTCTTAATGGCTTTACCAGGTTTACCTCATTGGGTTTCTGCTTGCTTCTAAGGTTGCAGTCTCAGTACTTCCCGGAGAAACACCAAACACTCGGAACAGATTGCTGTAAAGAGTATGAATGCGAAGGATTGATTATACAAGGAATTTTAGTCATTTGAGAATGCAAATATACAAATATATGCTCTGCGTTTTGGGGCATACCTGTAAGAACCTGTAGCTGCTCGTAATCCATTGCCACTTATACAACACTCGAACTTGTCAAAGATGGAATCATTTTCATATAAATCACAGAGCTGAAAATGGCCACAGGAATGGGAGTAACAATCAGCTATGCTCTACTCCTCAAATACACTCTCTTGGAGTATAGGAAACTGACCTTTGGTTTCAAATATTCATGAACCTGGAAAGTTGCTACTGGACCCGAGTCCATGTTGATGTCCCATAACTGACATGCAAAACATAACCATGAGGTCAATTTACCTTACACGAACAATTACAAAACAGCCACTAACTAACTTCAATGTCATATCATATCAAATGCCAACGGAAAGAATGAAAGTATGGACCTTAAGTGTCATGTAGTCACGACTAAGCAGATATCGTCCTTCTTTTGCAAATTTGATGTCTGAGACTGAAGCAATTATCTCAGTGAAGAACGATTTAGGACCTGCTGTCTCTGGTTCCTCAAACCTGCAGAAATAAGTAATGTTAGCCTCTGCAGCTACCACAGGTTATCAAATCCTAGAAGAGAGTGCTGTCATTAATTTGTTTTCATATAGCTTTATCTTCCTCAATAATAATTGAATATTTTACAGTATCACGCTAGACACTTAATTTACAGTAATATGATTGACACCTCATTTACAGTATTATGCTAGACACTTATCTCTCAAGTTTGAATAAGATGACTTTCTCCAAAGAAAGGTGAGAGAGAAAATTGAACAATGATGAAGTAAATAATTAATGGCGGTGATTATCCAAATTTTCCGATCCTCCTAAGTTATGCTGGACTAAAAAAAAACTTAACAGCCTCAAGACTTACAATTTGGAATGTGAATCACATAAAGCTGATTGGCGCAGATCTATCAGGCGAATTGAACCTTTCGAACTGCTATAGGCTAACATATTGCAATGGGTAGGATGAAATTCTGCTGATGTGATAACCTCTGCAATAACAATACAATAGCAATTACACAGGATATAGAATCCGATTGCTTGATATATGGGACAGTATACATCAAAGTGAAGCACCATAACATGCAGAGAACATACTGAACAAAAAGAACTGTAAACCACTGCTTACCAGATAGATCTTCCATTTTCGCAGGCTTGACATCAACAATATTGAAACTTTGACTGTTGATTTCCATATTCCAAAGATTTATTCGCAAATCATCAGCAGAGATGAAAGTTTCGCCATCACTAGTTTTGGGAGAACAAAATATTATTAGAATCAGAACATTATCAATTTAAGTAAAGATCTCAAGCTAATAATATCAACGAGGTAGCAGTTTGAATAGAAAGACCAAGAAATGGATTGATTATCCACAAAGACACTGGTTCATCAAATGACTTATAGTGACAACATAGATTTCCCACGGAGAAAAAAAATCAGTTGATTGTAAGAAAGAAGGTAGTGGAATTCCTAAAGGGTGAATAACTACCTATTATTTGAGATTGAATTGATATGATAATCGTGGGCATGAGCATACACTTTCCGACATTTAGCCACAGGGCTCGACTCATGGCTAGTTACCTGTATATGTCAAACGAAGTATTAGTCTACAAGTGAGTAATACCAAGTAATTTCGACTTAATAATCACCCCGAAAAAGGTTACTAAATTGATAAGCTTTATGATGCAGGTCTTCCTTGATTCGTGTTGAAACTAGCACTTATAAAAATATTAAAGAAGCCACAAAAAAATAAGAGAAGATATTGTTCGAAGTACAATTACCACTGGTAACCGCAGAGAAGAGATGCCTCCTAGTGAGTTGTTCACTTCAGGTACTCCCCCATTCACAAAGCATGCGCTTGTAATGGTTCCATTTCCAGTTCTTGAAGGATCTGAATTCATATCACAAATTTTCTTGATCTTCTTGTCTTGAACCTGTTAAAAACTCACATAAGAAAAAGTGGAAAGAACCACATCTACATACTCGTCTCAACAGGTTATTAACAGAAAAAGATCCAACAAAAAATTATGTACTACAGTAAAGATGTCAACGCCCAGAGAGTTAAGATTTCAACATTCTCTAGATTTTCCCATGAAGCAAACACAAAGTTCCTATCGTAACAGTATGTCATTCAGAGGCCAATAACTGATATAGAGGTAAATTTCACCTTCCAAAACTTGATGGTTTTATCATTCGTCGAGAGGAGAAAAAGAGCTCCATTAGCTGTTTGACACCATCTAATTTTGTTAATTTTCTCCTCTATCTCCAAACTCTTGAGGTAATCAAACTGGTAGACAAAGAATCGAGCATGAAAATACGAAAAAAACGGTATAGCACGAACTGCGAGTAAGAAAACAGAGTGAATCAATCAAACACCTCAGGGTCATGACTCTGAAATTCTGTTTTATAACGAAACTCAGGATGCCTCAGTGGATAATCAGTTTCTTCAAGCTCCCTTCTAGTTCCAGTGCTCTGTAATTGAAAGCATGCAAACAACAACATAAACCAAAATGTCCAATTTTGCAATTCAGAAAACGCTTGGGAAGGAGAGAATTGGACATACATTATTGGTATCGGTTCTCTCGAAAAGAACAACACGTCCTCCACGGTCACCAGTAGCAAGATGGTCACCAGAATTATCAAACTCAATCGCTGAGATTATATCAACTGCAGAGGAAACACCAGCTACAAATTTTTAAAAGAATTTCAACTAAAATTCAGAATAACATCGATTCAACAAAACGGAAATGACTATGCAATCTAATCCAACTAAAAGCCTACAACTTTGAAGTTACCCACTAAGCATAAACAGACACAAAGTTGACCCCAAAAAATAAAAATCAAAACTTTACAATGATGAAAACGTAATTAACGAA